CCTCGGCCTCCCAAAGCGCTGGGATTACAGGCTGAGCCACCGAGCCCAGCCGTATTTAGTAGTTTTTTTAAAAACAAATTGTTTAGAAGAGGATTAGAGTTCTATAAATTCCATGTGGTTTTCCTCTGTGTTGAGTTGGAGACTATATACACCAACTGTATCAGGTCTTTGTCTTCCCAGGACTTATCAACTAGGGGTGCTTCCAACCAGGCTCCTGTTTGTTGGTGTATGGTTAATGAACAAGCCTATCACAAAAAGTGCTATTAATAATACATCGGGCTAATACATCAGCCCAAAGTGCTATTAATGATCTAGCTTCAGCACTTTAGAAGAGGATGTGGTTGAGGTCAAAGAGGCTTTAGAATCAAACAAACTTTGGGTCAGTCATTGAACCACAGTAAGTCTACTTCTTCACTACAAAAACAGAGTGAATAAAATCTATGTATCATAAGGTTGTTATAAGAATGAAATGTGATTGTGTTTGAAAGAGCCTCCCAATGAGTGGCACAGCGCTCCATACAGTCAATGCCATCCTCATTAAGCACATAATGACATCCTTCTAGTTAAAAGTACAGTTGTAGAGCCGGGCTCGGTGGCTCAGCCTGTAATCCCGCGCCTTTGGGAGGCTGAGGTGAGTGGACTGCCTGAGCCCGCGGGTTCGAGACCCGCCTGGGCAGCGAGACCTCATCTCTACAATAAATCAAAAAATCAGCCGGGCGCGGTAGCGCGCGCCTGTAGTTCCAGCTACTTGGAAGGCGGAGGCGGAAGGATCGCCGGAGCCCAGCGGGTCGAGGCTGCGGTGGCCGGGAGCGGCCACTGCCCTCCAGTCTGGGCGACAGAGTGAGACTCCAACTCATAAAAAATAAAAATAAAAAAAATAAAAGTACAGTTGTAGCCAGGCGTGGTGGAGTGCGTCTGTAGTTCCAGCTACTTGGAAGGTTGAGGCAGAAGGATCACCTGAGCCCAGCAAGTGGAGGTTGTGGTGGCTGTGAGCAGTGTGCCACTGCACTCCAGCCTGGGTGACAAGAGTGAGACTCCAACTCAAAAAAAAAAGAAAAAAGGAAAAAAAAAGTAAAGCTAGACTCAAAAGAGATTTACATGGGAAGTCTAAACTAGTCACTACAATAATACAGATAAACAGTGAAAAGATGACTCCTTGGTTGAATATATAAGTGGAAATTCTTACCAGATCAAGTGGCTCTCAGTCTTGGCTTCAAAAATTAATGATGCTGGTCCTGTCCCAGAGGTTCTGATTTAATTAATGTGGGGTGCACCTAGGCATTGGGATTTTTTTTTTTTTTTTCGAGTTGGAGTCTCACTCTGTCGCCCAGGCTGGAATGTGCTCACGGCCACCACAGCCTCAACCTGCTGGGCTCAGGCAATCCTTCTGCCTCAGCCTTCCAAGCAGCTGGAACTACAGGTATGTGCTACCACATCCGGCTCATTTTTTTATTTATTTTTAGAGACGAGGTCTCACCAAGTTGCCCAGGCTGGTCTCAAACCCCTGAGTTCAGGCAATCCTCTCGCCTTGGCCTCCCAAAGTGCTGGGATTACAGGCTTAAGCCACCATGTCTGGCAATATTGTCTATTAATTAGAATTTAGAAGAGCCAATACCTAATCTAACATGCAAGTAATCTGGTACTTAGAATGAGTACTTAAAATACATAGAAGGCCAGGTGTGGTAGCTCAAGCCTGTAATCCCAGCATTTTGGGAGACCAAGGTGAGAGGATCACCTGATTCCAGAGGTTCGAAACCAGCCTGGGCAACTGAGTAAGACCTCATCTCTACAATAAATCAAAAAATTAGCAGGGTGTGGTAGCACATGCCTATAGTTCCAGCTACTTGAAAGGCTGAGTTGGAAGGATTACCTGAATCCAGCAGATTGAGGCTGTTTTGCCCATGAGCATGCTACTGCACTCCAGCCTGGGCAACAGAGGGAGACTCCAACTAAAAAAAAAAGTTAAAAATAAAAATAAAATAAGCCAGGCTCAGTGGCTTAGCCTGTAATCCTGCGCTTGGAGAGGTTGAGGTGAGTGAATTGCCTGAGCCCATGGGTTCGAGACCTACCTGGGCAACTTGGCGAAACCTCATCTCTACAATAAATCAAAAAATTAGCCGGGCGTAGTAGCATGCACCTATAGTTCCAGCTACTTGGAAGACTGAGGCGGAAGGATCGCCAGAGTCCAGCAGGTTGAGGCTGTGGTGGCCAGGAGCAGCCACTGCACTCCTGTCTGGGCGACAGAGTGAGACTCCAACTCAAAAAATAAATAAATAAAAAGAAATAAAAATAAAAATAAAAAAATATATATAGAAATCAGGCTGGGCATGGTGGCTCACACTTATAATCAAACATGATTCCCTATTTGTAGATCTCCTCCTACAGACATACTTGAACAGAGCTAATTCATCTGGTACCAACAGAAAAACAGTTTATGGACTTCCTAGACCAGCCTACGTTCAGACGTATAAGTCCAAAAGAAGGCAGGTAACCACATAAGCTGAAAATATCCTATCAGTGGTTAATAAGGGACAGAATGTGGGCAAACACACAAGCAAACAAGACTGATGTAATCACAAGATTTCCAAGCAATTTATAAAGATGACCCTGAAAAAAGCATATCAGTCTTTGAAAAATGTTAGGGATTAATGGTACAGACTCATTCCTGCCTTCAAGAAGCTTCCCATCTACTGCAGGAGTCACTGAATGGCACATAAACAAATATAAACACAGACTGTGATCAATCCTACAAAGAAAAACTAGAGGATGTTATAGAAACATAAAGTAGGGTACTCAGTGTGGTTGGTGAAGATGATGGTGTCAAAACAAGCTTCCCTAAGGAAGGAAAATATAACTAGGTAAGGAAGAGGAACAACATATTTTTCTTTTGCCAGGGCAAAAAGAACAACATATGCAAAAGCTCTAAGACAGGAAGGAGCACAGCATTGCTGAGGAAGTGAAGAAAACCAGCTGGGTGTAAGCACAAAACCAGAGATAGAATGGTATGACCTGAACTGAAAGTGCAGGTCATATTCAAGATTTTGGCCAAGGTGTGTCTTTCACTGACTGGTTTCTGAATCATGCTCCTGTTGCTTGGCCCCACCACAGGGCTCAGTATTCTTTCTGAGTATAACTGAGTATAAGTCTTTTTTCCAGATTAGTATAAAAAAGGAGTGATGTGCAATTAAAAAAAAAAGATTCTGGCCATTACTCTAAGGGCATAGAAGTCCATCTTCAATGGAAGGCCAATGATGCATTTTAAGCACAAGTAGTAAAATAGTCAGATTTGCCTTTTAAAAACAGCCTATCATTCTCAATGTGAAGAACCAACTGGGAAGAGAGCAAAAATCAATGTGGCAAGACCAGTAAGTAAGCTCTTTTAAGATATCCACAGAAAAGGCAGAAGAGGAGCAGTGAAGAGAGAAAGAAGTGGTGAATTCAAAAGATATTTAAGGTTGGGCTTGGTGGCTCAGCCTGTAATCCCAGCGCTTTGGGAGGCCAAGGTAAGTGGATTGCCTGAGCCCATGGGTTCGAGACCCGCCTGGGCAACTTGGTGAGACCTCATCTCTACAATAAATCAAAAATTAGTCAGGCGTGGTAGCACGCTCCTGTAGTTCCAGCTACTTGGAAGGCTGAGGTGAAAGGATCGCCAGAGCCCAGCAGGTTGAGGTTGCAGTGGCCACGAGCAGCCACTGCACTCCAGTCTGAGTGAAAGAGTGAGACGCCAACTCAAAAAAAAAAAAAAGATATTTAAGAGGCAAAATCGCCAGGCACGGTGGCTCACACCCATAATCCCAGCACTTTAGGAGGCAGAATCGGGATGACTGCCTGAGCCCACGGGTTCGAGACCAGCCCGGGCAACTTGGCAAGACCCTGTCTCTACAATAAATCATAAAATTAGCCGGGAGTGGTAGCACGTCTCTGTAGTTCCAACTACTTGGAAGGCTAAGGCAAAAGGATCACTGGAGCCCAGCAGGTTGACTCTGGGGTGACTGTGAGCATGCCACTGCACTCCAGCCTGGGCGACAGAGTGAGACTCCAACTCAAAAAAAAAATTAGCGTGGCATGGTGGCGTGCGCCTGTGGTTTCAGCTGCTTGGAGGGCTGAGGCAGATGGATCACCTAAGCCCAGCAGGTCAACACTGAAGTAGCCATGAGCATGCTACTGCACTCCAGCCCAGACGGCAGTGAGACTCCAACTCAAAAAAAAAAAAAAGAGGCAAAATCAGTAGGACTTGCCAATATATACAGGACAATAAAATTAACCTATAATCAGTCCTTTGACATTTTAAGACATAAAACACTAAACCATTTTGTCACAGCCAGGCACAGCAGCTCACGCCTATAATTCTAGCACTTCAGGAGGTGGAGGCAAGAGGACTGCCTGAGATCATGGGTTCAAAACCAGCCTGGGCAACATGGCGAGACTTTGTCTCTACAATAAACCAAAAAATTAACTCAGCGTGGTGGCACATACCTGTGGTTCCAGCTATTTAGAAGTCTGGGGCAGAAGGATCACCTGAGCCCATTGGCTCGAGGCTGCAGTGGCTGTAAGTATGCCACTGCACTCCAGCCTGGGCAACAGAATGAGACTCCAACTCAAAAAAATTTTTTGAAAACTATTCTGTGATTAGTAACCAAGTACTGCAATCAACAGTGTGGAAAACTAAAGCATCCACCTCCTGTTGAGTTTCCTGGAAGTACCTCCTCATGAACTGCTAGGGACCTCACTCACTTGTAGAGCAAGCTGGGAGCCTTCACGGTAGACCGGAATCCCTGCGAGGTCTGCTCCACCTTGTAGGCATCACAGGGCTCATCAGCACACTCCATGGAGCCTGCACAGAAACCACAACATCTTGCTCAGAAACACTACTGCTAGCCAGGCACGGTGACTCAAGTCTGTAATCCCAGCACTTTGGGAGGCTGAGGTGAGAGGACTGCCTGAGCCCAGGGCTCAAGACCAGTCCGGGAAACTTGGCAAGATTTCATCTTTACAGTAAATCAAAAAATTAGCTGAAGGTGGTGGCGCATGCCTATAGCTCCAGCTAGTTGGAAGGTTAAGGTGAAAGAATTGCCTGAGCCCAGCAGGTCGAGACTGCGGTGGCCATAAGCATGCCACTGCACTCTAGCCTGGATGACAGTGGGACTCTGACTCAAAAAAACAAAAACAAAACCACTGCTGCTCTATGGACAACAGCCTTCTCCTCAGCAGTTGACCACATACAAAGCTGGGCACAGTGGCTCACGTCTATAATCCCAGCACTTGGGGAGGCAGAAGCAAGAGGACTACCTGAGCTCAGGGGGTTGAGACCAACCTGGGCAACCTGGTGAGACCTCATCTCTACAATAAATCAAAAAAATTAGCTGGGCATGATGGCGTGTACCTGTGGTTCCAGCTACTTGGAAGACTGAGGTGAAGGATCGCCTGAGCCCAGCAGGTGGAGGCCGCAGTGTCCGTAAGCATTCCACTGCACTCCAACTTGGGTGACAGAGCAAGACTCCAACTCAAAAATATGTATATATTTGCATAACACCCACACAGAACTAACTAGTGTAAGTCATTTAGAGATAATTTAAAATATAGGATAGGATGTGTGTAGGTTATATGCAAATACCACACCATTTTATATAAGGGACATGAGCATCTGAGGATTTTGGCAACACTACTGGGCACTGGACTAAATACTCGACATATACTCATGTAGTTCAATAATTTATATCTGTATATTACTTCAGAACTTTACAGATAAAGAAGCTTAATTGTGTCACAGAATATTAATGGTTATATCAATGGCTAACTAAAATTACTCCTTAGACATTTAAGACTCTGTAAAAGAAGAAACATAACTTGACATATGAACTACAACCAAGAACTCAAACTCTTTGTGTTGGACATTAACACAAATAGTGCTATGTGGGGCCAAACATCTCAAATTTCAGTGGTAACACAGAAACACATTAAAACAAAACAAAGAATTGCTCCTATAATACATAGATCATTTTCCTCTAAGCTAACCAAAGAACTAGGATTACCATGATAGAAGTCCTCATCATCTTCCTCATGTTGATAAGTCTGTTCTTGGATGGGATTCTTCCGGTAATTCCGACCATCAATTCTTATAAGCTGTGGGCGCAGAACTTCCATGACACTCTCCAAATAATATTCCAATGAAGTCCTGAAAAATAAATTGTCATCTTACCTTTTTAAATCAGAATTTAAGCCAGGCTCGGTGGCTCAGCCTGTAATCCCGCGCCTTTCGCAGGCTGAGATGAGTGGATTGCCTGAGCCCGTGGGTTCGAGACCCGCCTGGGCAGGCGAGACCTCATCTCTACAATAAATCAAAAAATTAGCCGGGCATGGTAGCGTGCACCTGTAGTTCCAGCTACTTGGAAGGCTGAGGCGGAAGGATCGCTGGAGCTCAGCAGATCGAGGCTGCGGTGGCCGGGAGTGGCCACTGCACTCCAGCCTGGGCGACAGAGTGAGACTCCAACCCAAAAAAAAAAAAAAAAATCAGAATTTAAAAATCCTATCTCTATTGTATGGACCATAGGCCTGAATTTGGCATCAATCAGTTCAAAGTACACAAAAGAAGTACTGTTTTCCATTGGAAACTGATTTAGGTCAATTGCTACATTTTCCACTACACTGGCTCACTCTAGACAGCAAACTATTTATAATCCCCCAAAAAAGGTGATTAAAAGGCATGTATATACAGCCTGCCCATGACTTTGAAAGAGAGGATAAAAGTCTCTTTATTACTTTAACCTAACAGTAAACTGCAACCTAACCCTTTGCACAGTATCTCACCCTTTCTATCTGGCATGACAACTAAGACAATGAGAGATATTTAATACACTTAACCATCCAGAAGGGGAAAAAAAGACCCTAAGTAATTTTAGAAGTGCTACGAATATATAATATACCAAACAATCAGATCCAGTAGCTTGTCAAAGCACAGTTAAAATATGACTTAACCAATATGGTTCTCAGAGCTATATTCCAGAGGGGAGGAATCCAATTTCTATAGGCCACTGCCTAACAAGCTGCACATCACTCACTGAGAAGCCAAGTTTCCAGTCACCACTTAAGGAATCAATAACTTAGGAAACAAAGGCTCCTTATGGGCTAGCTGTGGTTAAGTACAACCAACGTTTCTACCACATATAGCTTGGATAGTCTTGAAGCCCAGAGTCTTGAGGAGTTTCAAAGGAAACAAATCGATCCTTATTAAATACACTAATGGTCGGTGCAACCTTCGGCAGATGACTCAGTTCGATAGTTCGCTTACAGAACTAAAGAGAAATAACACAGCAGGTAAATCAACTTGGATAGAGGAAATGGGGACATAATTAGCAAAAGCCTAATGACATCACACGCCAGTGAACTATTCCCTTAGGATCCCTCTTAAAAAAAAGGTCTCCACAAAAATAGACTTGAATGTTAGTATCAGGCCCTCAGACTGTGAGCTCTGGAAGAACGGAGGGAGTTGTCCCGGAGTGCAAACTCAGCATCTACCTTTCCTAAAAGGGCCTGCGCTCCAAGACAGCTCAGGAGGAAAGAAGAGGAATGACCAATCGAACCCTGCTTCGTGGTGGTCTGGAGAGGAAGAGGAAGGCAATGTCTTTCTGAAATATCGTGGGGCAAGCTAAAGCCCTGAATCATGAAAGGGAACCAAACCACGAGTACACGGAAGCGAGGGAAGACAGGAGGCTCTGAGGCTCCTGGAAAACCTAAGCACGGCAAGGCAAGACGACCAAAGACCCCAAAGTTCTCTCCTCTCCGCCCCCGGCCCCGCCCACCACAGCACGGGCAGGGGCGCGCGCACGTCGCCGCCGCCGCCGCCGCCGCCGGTTCCCTCTACGCGGGCGCGAGCACGCCGCCGTCCTTATCGTGGCGAACGTGGCCGCTCCGGCTCGGCCTGGGGGCGGGGCTGTAGGGAAAAGTGCTAAAGCCGCTGAGGTAAGTGGCGGAGGGCTCGAGGACCCTCGGAAGCTTGGTGGAAAGGGATCGGACCCCTGGGATCCTACCTGCTGGGACTAGAAAGGAGGAGAAACAAGAGACTGACGCAGCAGGCGTGTAAAAGATTTCCTCAGGCCGCGCCGGACTAAGTGCGCATGCGGGCCGGGGGGTTGCGCCTGCGCAGTGGGCCGGCGCTGATGGCGTCGCTTCTCTGGACGAGCCGCGGGGCACTAAGACCGGTAGTTGGCTTGGGAGCCGCTGAGGTTGTGACCTCTCCCTCCTTCAGCCCCCTTTTCTCCACCCTAGCCCCCAGCCCCAGTGTTAGCTGCAGCATCTATTTAATTTGGATTGTAAGTTTTTAAGTGGAACGACTTGTCGATGATGGCTTTTAATGATTGCCTGTAATTTGCCTTTGTGCCGGGGTAGGAACTTCCGCGTCCATTTTCTTTTTTATGAGACTTTTTTTGTTTTTTTTTGAGTTGGATTCTCACTCTGTCGCCTAGGCTAGAGAGCAGTGCCTGGAACTATAGGCACTCGCCCGCCAAGACGTCCGGCTAGAAACTTTTTTTAAAGGAAGAACTGCTAGAAAGGAAAGGAGTTTATGAATGCGAGGTCATTCCTGTGGTACATGAAGTAAGTTTAATCATCTTATCAGTGAGGACACAGCAGTCTGCGTCCCCAGAGTATCATTGCTCTCATAGGAGGATCTCTGCTGCCAACAGTCCCAGCTTCCCTGATAGGGCCAAGTACTTCATAATCAGTATTTATTCCCACACCTAAGTGGGACTGGTGATCTAGTTGATGATAGATTTGTGTAAATAGATCTGCACAATGAGAGAAAAAAACATAACGGGCCAACCCTCATGACACCAGCTGGTTTTGAGGTTTTTTGTTTTTGGTGTTTTTTGTTGTTTTTTTTTTTGGTAGAGTCGGGGTCTGGCTGTGTTGCCCAGGCTGATCTCGAACTCCTAGTCTCAAGCAGTCCTCCCACCTCAGCCTCCCAAAGTGCCAGGATTACAGACTTGAGCCACTGCACCTGACTAGCCCCAGGCTTCTCTATAACCTTTGTTGAACTGCTTGCTAACCTTGTGTTCTGTCATTTGTTCATCATTCATTCATGCAAGAAATACTGGTCCAGGTTCTATGCTAGGCCTTGAGGGTAGAACTGTTCCTCATTTCCAAGATCTCAGGATTCTTCCAGAGGTGAAAACTGAAAGTGTGAAGTACATAATGGAGGGCATTGTCCTCTCCCTGAGCAAACCCTTTCCCCTCTGGGAGATTTCTGTTTCTGTTAGATAGAGTCGGTCAGAACTTATTCCATGTGTATTGTGTTGGAACATAGTAAATATAAAAAAGTGGGATCTGGACTGGGCGTGGTGGCTCAAGCCTGCAGCACTTTGGGAGGCCGAGGCAAGAGGATTGCCTGAGCTGGCGGGTTGGAGACCTGGGCCCCATGGTGAGACCTCATTGCTACAATAAATCAAAAATTTAGCTGGGCTTAATAGTCCGAGCCTGTAGTTCTGGCTACTTGGAAGGCTGAGGTGGAGGGATCGCTGGAGCTCAGCAGATCAACACTGGGGTGGCCGTGCATATGCCACTGCACTCCAGCCTAGGCTACAGAGTGATTCCGACTCAAAAAAAAAATGTGGGATCTGCATAGAAAAAAAGATTCAGAAGTAAGTATCCATTAATGGTTTTGGATAGCTAAGATTTATTAAAAGTTTACTGTGGCTGGGGGGAAGGGGGG